AGCCCCGCCGAGGGGGGTGGTGGGGGCAGGGGACAAGAAGCACCGTCAGAGTTTTGGACCAAGCCGGGGGCTCAGAGCCTGGGGAGGAAAGAACTGTGGCAAGCCACAAGAACATGTTGAAAAAACCCCAAACCGAACCACCTACAGATAGCAGCGTCCCAATGAACACGGTGCAAGCGATAAAGCAGCAAGGAGAACCTTCACCAAGGATGGCTCCCTTTAGAGACAACTCGGCCCCCGAGGATTGTGTTCCCTCTGCCTCCCCCCAACTGGGACACCCGGCAGAAGCAAAGAAGAGGCAGAGAGCTATCCCCGCTCTTATCCCTGGCACCAACACATTTATTAAAAATTACTGCTATGTACATAGAAAACAAGAACCAAGTTTTGCTGGGAGAAGTTTGTGTGCCACTGCTCTAGGGCTGATCAGGTTAAAATGGCTGAAACTATTAGGCAAGAAGAGTGGGTAAGTTATATCATTTCCAGTTTTGTACAGGGCAGCTGAAAAAGTCACTTTTACGCACACATAACTAGAAATCTCTTAATGTTTTTCGCAATGCTCCATATGCTAAGTTTGATTAACCAAAAACAAATGCCTTTCGAACTTCAAAGCACCACTGGAGGTCTTTCTGACTGAACAGCTATAGGTCAACTATTTATACATTATTCCACAATATTCTACAGTGTACCTACACAAAACACAACTGTACACTTTGTTTTTGGCCACCTCAATAAAGGTTAGGCTTTTGGGAATGAGGCATGTGGGGGTTTTTTAATGCAAGTTCTAAACTAAGAAAAGTCACATTTGGTCATCATAACCCCATCGTTCGCAACAAGACCTTCAAGTCAAAATCCTGCCTGGCAAGCAGGCCTTATTTTGGCTGTCTTCTGTCAAACAAAAAGCCTTAGCTGAGCGATAGCTGACCCAGCCAACTGTGCTGCAGACAAGGGTTGAAGAAGCCAGCTCAGTGTCAAGCAGAACATAGCATTTGTGCAGCTCCCTGCAACCCAGACCCCATTTATCAGAGGGGCAGGCAGGGAAGAAAATTAGATTTGGGATCCTACAACACCCCCCCCCCCCCCCTCTTTTCCTTGTATCG